GCCGGTTATAGGAGACGACCTGCTGAGTGTGCTCAGAGACAGTCTAAGTAACGGGAGGTTGCCTCTGAGTTGCAGGAGAGCTGTGCTCACTCTCCTCCCTAAGAAAGGAGACCTGCAGGAGATTAAGAACTGGCGTCCTGTGTCTCTACTCTGTACCGACTACAAGCTGCTTTCCAAAGTGTTAGCAACGAGGCTGAGAAAAGTGATGGAGCATGTCATTCACGTAGACCAGACATACTGTGTACCCAGCAGGTTGATAACTGACAACGTGACTCTAATTCGGGATGTTTTGGACCTCTCCGGTTCATTGGGCTGTGAGCTTGGTCTGATTTCTCTAGACCAAGAAAAGGCTTTTGACCGAGTTGAGCACCAGTACTTGTGGCAGACGCTGGAAGCTTTTGGGTTCAGCTCTGGTCTCATAGCCAAGATCCAGGTCTTGTACAGGGACATTGAGAGTGTACTGAAGATAAACGGTAGTTTGTGTGCTCCTTTTGAAGCTCAGAGAGGAATCCGACAGGGCTGCTCTTTGTCCGGGATGCTCTACTCCCTGGCCATAGAGCCCTTTTTACACCGGTTAAGGTCCAAGTTACAGGGTTTCTCTTTTCCTGGCTGTAGGGATGTTTTTAAATTGTCTGCGTATGCGGATGACATAATGGTCTTTGTTAAAAAACAAGAGGACATCAATGTTTTAACTGAAACTGTGAGCAACTTTTGCAAGATCTCATCTGCTCGAGTCAACTGGGGGAAAAGTGAGGCTTTAGCAGTAGGAGAGGGCAGCATTGACAGATTGTTTTTACCTGGGGGCCTTGGTTGGAAAAGGGCAGGGTTAAAGTACCTGGGCATTTATCTTGGTGATGACACGTTTTGTTTGAAAAACTGGGACGGGCTTATCGAGAAAGTGGAAGGCCGGTTAAAGAAGTGGAAGTGGATCCTTCCCAAACTTTCTTTTAAAGGGCGTATCCTTATTTTAAACAACCTTGTTTCCTCCATGCTGGCTCACCGGCTGGCATGCACCGACCCGCCCGTAAACCTGCTGTCCAGGGTGCAGGCTCTCATGGTGGACTTCTTCTGGGACCGCATGCACTGGGTCCCTCAGAGCGTCCTGTTCCTGCCAAAGGAAGAGGGGGGACATGGCCTGGTTCACCTGGCGAGCAGAGGGGCTGCTTTCAGGCTCCGGTTCGTCCAGAGGTTCCTGACTGGACCTGCTGACCTGGTCTGGAGACCCGTAGCTCGGGCCTTACTGGAGCGCTGTGGTGGGCTGGGTCTGGCTGAGTCGCTGTTCCTCATGGACCTAAAAGGATTACGCCTGAATAATCTCTCAGGTTTCTATGGAGGTCTCTTCAAGGTGTGGGGACTACTCAAAAAAGAGAGACCAGACTGCTGTGGCTCACTGTTCTGGCTCCTCAGAGAGCCGGTGGTCCGTGGATCTCGTTTTGTGTGTGGAGTAGGGCCTTCTCTACAACAGAGACTCTGTGAGGAGAGGATCCTCACGCTGGGCCAGGTGGTGGAGGTGTGTGGCCCCCGCCTAGACAACGCTGCAGGCCTGGCCTCACGTCTGAGCCTCAGGTCAGTCCGGGTGGTCAGCCTCCTGCTGCAGAGCTGGAAACAGCAGCTCAGCCAATCAGAGCTGGCACTGATCGCTGCTCACTGTAACGGACTGAAGTCTCCAAATGACAATGACTCTTTTCCAGAGATGCTATGTTTTCCTGATCTCAGTTGTGAGGGTTTTTTGTTAAAGTTGAACAATGTTACCGATTTTAAGTTTAGCACCATGTCCAACAAAACCTTTTATTATTTGGTGACAAAGGTGCTGAATCAGAGCAGACTCCAGGAGCGAGTGGACACCCAGTGGAGAGCCCACCTGGGCCTGACGGAGGCTCAGAAGCCTGAGTGGAGAGCGCTCTACAAGCCTCCGCTGACTAAGAGGGGTGGGGACCTCCAGTGGAGGGTTCTCCACGCTGCGGTAGCGGTAAATGCGTTTGTTTCAGTGATCAACCCTACAGTGTCTGACGCCTGTCCTTTTTGTGAACAGAGGGAAACCATTTTTCATTGCTTTACAGAATGTGGTCGACTCCTTTGTCTTTTTCAGTTACTCGCTCAGATGTTGATTTTGTTTAATGTGGTTTTTTCAAAGTCAATGTTCATTTTGGGTTGTAGGTACAGCCAGAAGCAAAAGTGCAAAAGTCAGCTTTTGAATTTTTTGTTGGGGCAGGCTAAAATGGCCATCTACCTCAGCAGGAGGAATAAAGTTGCGGAGTCATTGGATACCGATGCAGTTTTGATTTTCAAGCGGATGGTAAAAGCAAGACTAAAAACAGACTACAGTTACTTTTGCTTAACCAAAAATGTGGGAGAATTTGAGGCCATGTGGTGTCTTAAAAATGTTTTGTGTTCTGTGGTGAATGAGGATCTTATTTTCAGTCGTTTTCTGAACTGACAATGTGTGTCATTGTGTCTGTTTGGTTATTTGCTTTGTGAATAAAAGTGGTTTGAAAAATCAAAAAAAAAAAAAATCTCTCTCTCTCTCTCTCTCTCTCTCTCTCTCTCTCTCTCTCTCTCTCTCACATCAGCAGCAGAGGACAGTTACAAGTAATGTGACACCGGTTTCCTCTCAGGTAAATACCCACAGACCGCCCATCTAGACTATGATTGGTTGCAAAATGGAGGCAAAATGCAGTTCTATTTCGTATAAGGCTTCGCCCTCTAAGGCTATCGCTATTGGGTAATCCCACTGCGCATGCGCAGCACTGACAGACTTAATCCACGCCCACCTATGACGTGGGCCCCACCTACGGTCTCACTTCGGTATAAATAGGAAGTATGCCCGTCAATCTGCTCCCACTTTTCTTCAGCACGTAGTAGCAGAAGCACTGTAGTAGGCACATTAGAAAACAAAGATTCCTCCCTTACGAAGCTTTGTTTCTAGTGGAAAGATGGAGATGAGCAAGGTAAGTCGGGGCTGCGTCCGGAACTGCCTTTCAAGTGAGACGGGCTACATAATGAGTTTTGACAAACACTCACAGTGTGAGTCCTGCTTGGGGTTAGAGCATGCGAAAGCTGCTCTTTCCCCACAGGTGTCATGCTCATTATGTGTCCGGCTCCCTCTGGCCCTCAGACAGCAGAGAGCGGACGCTCTCGCTGCTGCTGCGGTCGAGGATGATTGGGCAGTCCCAGAGGTTTACTCTGTGGACGAGGCCCTGGACTTCTTGGATCCGAGTGGAGGGCACGAGTCGGACGACTACGCCCCCTCCATTCACCAGGTGGTTCCCCCATCCTCTCTCTCCTCCGGACGGAGGAGACAGAGCGGGGTCCCGGTGTAGGTCCGGTAGACGGACCAGTGGTCTCTCTCTCCGCCGTCACGGCTCTGCCGTCGATTGGTGGAATTCTCCAGGAACTCCCGGAGATCATCTCTAAGGCAGCCGCCTGGCGAGATCTCCGCGTTCCCCCAGCTCAGGAGAGCACGTTTTCGGATGACATGTCCGGGGTGTTCTCCCAGGCACAGAGGGTCAGGAGTGACCCGATCTGGCCACGCTTCCCGCCCATTAGGAAGTACCAGGAGGGGGCGGCGGCGAACCCCAGGACACTGAGGGCTCCTGTATCCACGTACGTTCCCCTCACGAGGGTGGAGGGATTTACGGATAAGGGTTTTCCGACCGTGCCGCCTCTGGAGCCGAGCCTCACGACGTTTTTTGGAGTTAAGCAGGCCAGCACGGTTGCCGGACGGCGACCCATGCTGACTGCCTCCAGAGATCAGTTTGTCGCCCGACAGACCGACCGGATGCACCAGTGTGCTTACCAGGCGTCAGCGGCGGCCAACAATATTGCATTGCTGGTGAATTCCATGGTACGTATAGCTGAGCAGTCCGACACCATGTCCTCAGGGGAGGCTGAGGAGATCGGTAAGGCGGCCAGCACTGCACTTACCCTGAGCGCCGCAGTCGCAGTTTCGCAGGCGCGGATTGCGACGTGGGTGACTCAGGTCCACCGGTACCTCTGGCTACAGCAGGGATCTATACCGGAGGGTGCAGGGAAGGAGCTGATAGAGGCTCCAATCAGTCCGGACGGACTGTTCGGGCCTCAGTTCCACACCATGGTGGAGTCAAGGAAGTCTGCATCGGAGCAGGCAGACGACATACGGCGTCACGTCGGATGGCTTCAGCCGGACAGACGTCCCCAGCAACAGCAGCAACAGCAGCGACAGCAGCGCTCGCAGCACCTGCAATAGTCTCAGCAGGGGCAGCGCGGGCAACGGCGAGATCAGCAGCGGCGCCAGAATCGCCCTTCGGCGGCTGCGGGGGCACCGTCCCATGTCTCCGCTCCTCCGCCACAGAGACAGAGTCTCCAGGCGACGAGTCGGAGGGGAACGAAGAACCCCCGCTCCTGGTCTGCTCCTCCGGCTCCGAGAGAGCCTCCGAGGAAGCAGAGCCGAAAGTGACTTTTTGGGGGGGATTTGCGGGAGTACATTTTCAATAAAAATGTTGAAAATTCCAACAGTGTGTCTGTAGCAGCTGTTTCTCACATTTCCCCCACACTAGTCAGGCCGACTGTTGTTAATCTGTCGGTTAACAGACAGCAAGATTCGCTGCATAAACCAGCTGTTTGTAACCTGTCGGTTAACAGACAGCTGGGCTCGCCGTTTGAGCAGACTGCCTCTGACCTGTCGGTTAGCAGGCGGCAGGGCTCGCTGCACAAGCCAGCTGTATATAACCAGGCGGTTATTAGACAGCGGGGCTTGACGTGTAAACCTGTTGCCTCTGGCCTATCGGTTAGCAGGCAGCACGGTTTTTCCTCTGTCCCAGGTGTGCCTGCTTCACACGGTCGTAATGAGCCTAGGGCTGTTATTACGCGCTGTATGAATAGCACTGCACACACCTCCGCTCTTTCCTCAGGCCGGGGTGAGATGCAGTGTGTGGAGACCCGGTCGCAGCCCTTTCGGGCGGGGCCCCCCTTGGGTTGCTTCACGAGCAACAGCGGCAAGGGCTCTGGCATGGCTCGTCACCATGACTACCACAGCACAACAAGAACAGGTTTGCCCGCTCTCGGAGCATTGCTCAGAGTGGCGGCGGATATGTTTGATGGACAGATGGATGAGCAGGCTGATCAGCAGAGGGTACTCTCTGCAATTCGCCTCCCCTCCCCCGCAGTTCAATGGGATTCAGGAAACACTCCTGTCATCCCAAGAACAGTGTCTTGCGCTCCAGGAGGAGCTGCAGGAACTCCTGGTAAAAAATGCGATTTCCAGAGTTCCTCAAGGAGAAGAAAATCGGGGGTTTTACTCCCGTTATTTTCTTATCCCAAAAAAGACCGGGGGAATGAGACCCATCCTCGATCTGTCAGCATTCAACAGGGTGATAATGAAAAGACCTTTTCATATGCTGACAATCAAACAGGTGCTGGAAAATTTTCACCAGGGGGACTGGTTTACGTCAATAGACCTGAAGGATGCCTACTTCCACATAACCATAATCCCGAAACACAGGAAATTCCTGCGTTTTTCTTTCCAGGGGATTTCGTACCAGTTCAATCGACTGCCGTTCGGATACTCCCTGGCTCCTCGCACTTTTTCAAAGTGTGTGGAGACGGCTCTGGAGCCGCTTCACAGAGGAGGGATGAGGGTGTTATTTTATCTGGACGACCTGCTGTTGCTGGCTCGATCCAAGGACGAGGCTGCTTTACAGACGGTACAGCTCGTATCTCATCTGTCAAGCCTGGGTTTCATTGTCAACTGGAAGAAGAGCTGTCCTCTTCCCTCCCAGGTTATCATTTATCTGGGAGTGGAATTGAACTCAGCCCTCATGAGAGCGCGACTCTCACAGCAGAGAGTGGAGAAAGTGACAGCTCTCCTCCGACGCGTCACACCTCGCAGGGTGGTGACAGCCCTCTCCGTGATGCAGCTGTTGGGCATGATGTCAGCTGGTCACGTGGTGATCCCTCTGGGACTCCTTCACATGAGGAGACTCCAGAGGTGGTTTATTCGCCTGCACATCGACCCCGTGCGGCAGAAGAGACGCATGGTGTACATTCCCCCTTCCGTGGGTTTGGATTTAGCCTATTGGAAAAATCTCCACGTCCTGTCAGTGGGGGTTCCCCTGGGCAGAGTGACGTCACACACAGCGGTGTTCACAGACGCATCTCTCGCAGGCTGGGGAGGAACGTGCATGTCGCAGGCAGTGGGGGGACAGTGGCCGGCTCACATGTCTCTCCACATAAACGTGCTGGAGTTAAACTCCGTATGGAGAGTAATCCAGCACTTCGCCCCGTTGCTGTTCAAACAACATGTGTTGATTCGGACAGACAACAGAGCAGCGGCGGCATACATAAATCGCCAGGGAGGCGTACGATCAGCGCAGCTGCTGAGCACAGCCAGGCGGCTGCTGTGCTGGGCGCAAACACACGTACTCTCTATCAGAGCGGTGTATATTCCCGGCGTGTTGAAAAGAGAGGCGGACCTCATGTCCAGAGGAGGTCCTCGTCAAGGGGACTGGAGCCTCCACCCCGAATTGGTCTCCCAGGTATGGAGCAGGTTCGGGAGAGCGGAGGTGGATCTGTTCGCTGCACGCGAGAACGCGCAGTGTGCCCTCTGGTTCTCCCTGAGAACGCAGGACCACCCCCCCCTGGGCGTGGACGTGTTCGCACACAGGCCGTGGCCAAAGGTGTTGTTATACGCTTTCCCACCAGTCCCTCTGATCCCTCGGTTCCTGGACCGAGTGCAGGAGGAGAGACTGACAGCGATTTTAATAGCACCGCACGGGAGCGTCCTGGTTTCCATGCCTACAGCGGATGCTGTCAGGGAGGCCGTGGGAAATTCCGTGGCGCAGGGACGCTCTCTCCCAGGTGGAGGGAGCGATCAGCGGTCACCCAGTATTGGGCCAACGTTTGTGGGCATGGCCCCTGAACGGGAACATTTAGAGGGGATGGGCCTCTCTAAAAATGTTATTAGTACCATTCAGGGTTCAAGGGCGGCGTCCACCAGAGCATCCTACACAGCCAAATGGGCAGCGTTCCAGCGCTGGTGTGTAGGGAAAAGCCTGGACCCCGTTACGTGCCCCCTGCCTCACGTGCTGTCGTTCCTCCAGACCTTACTAGACAGGAATTTGGCTTATAGCACGGTCAAAACGTACGCTGCTGCCATCTCATCTTGCCACGTAGGGTTTGGTGTCAGTACGGTGTTTAGTCACCCTCTGACAACACGCTTTCTACGGGGAGTACAGAGACTCAGACCGGTGTCACGCGCTTTGGCGCCTCAATGGGATTTGGCGTTGGTGTTACGCGCACTGAGTAAAGCTCCATTCGAACCTTTATATCAGGTCCCCCTGAAGTTCTTGTCAGCCAAAGTAGCTCTGCTCTTGGCCCTAACATCAGCTAAAAGGGTGAGTGATTTGTCTGCTCTCTCTGTGGCTCCGTCATGCCTCCAGATCCAAGGAGATGGCAGCTCAGCTGTTTTGCGCCCTAACCCGGCTTTTATGCCAAAGGTTATCACAAGCTCTTTTAGATCAAGAGTGATAACTTTGGATGGTTTCTTCCCTCCTCCTCACTCATCGGAGGAAGAAGCCACATCTCATCTCCTCTGTCCCGTACGTGCGCTGTCATGCTATATTGCACGCACAGCCACATTGCGTAGATCCCAGCGCCTGTTTGTGCATCACAGAGAGCACTCAATAGGGCAGCCTCTGTCTGCACAGCGCCTGTCACACTGGTTGTGTGAGGCTGTGCCACAGGCGTATGTCTCCTCTGGGAAGGATCCCCCGGAAAACATCAAAGCGCACAGCATCAGAGGAATTTCAACCTCTACGGCTTTGCACGGAGGAATGACAGTGGAAGACATTTGCACTGCGGCATCTTGGTCTTCCCCCTGCTCTTTTATTCGTTTTTATTTGAGGGATGTCTCCCATTCCTCTCTTACTCATTCAGTACTCAGTGTCCTGTCAGATTGAGTAATGTCAGAGACTGAACGGTGTGCCCTCTCTCCTACCTGTCGGCACTGAGAGAGCTGCCCCTTTTTCCCCCTCTTTTATCGTTTTAACAAGTGGGATTTTTTATCTCTACTTTTTAAAATGCTATATTTCCAGGGACTGTGATGCTCCTTTACGCATGGGTTATTAATTGAGTAGATGTGTTTTTGTACTTCTGGTAACGGACGGACCAGTGGGGCGTGGACTACATCCTGCTTCGCCCTTAACCCAATAGCGATAGCCTTAGAGGGCGAAGCCTTATACGAAATAGAACTGGGGTTACGTATTGTAACCCAGCTTCTATGAGTATAGGCGCAGCCCTCTAAGGTTCGGGCCCCACTGGCTCCGCGAATAGCTGAAGAAAAGCTGTTTGTGTGGGAGCAGATTGACGGGCATACTTCCTATTTATACGGTAGTGAGACCGTAGGTGGGGCCCACGTCATAGGTGGGCGTGGATTAAGTCTGTCAGTGCTGCGCATGCGCAGTGGGATTACCCAATAGCGATAGCCTTAGAGGGCTGCGCCTATACTCATAGAAGCTGGGTTACAATACGTAACCCCAGTTTCAAATTCTGCCATCATTACAGCAGAACAACCGGATGAAGATCCTGGGAGCAGCACACTCTTAATGGTCGGTAAAAACTATGGATGTATTGATAAGAACTGAAAAGTGAGGTTGTTGAATCTTTAAAAAACGTTTTCTCCCTCCGCCTCGGACTATTTCTCCAGTTCTTTTTCTTTTTCTTGCTGCACAAACCGAAAGTAACAGCTTTACAATGGGCGGCAGTGGTTCAGTCTGTAGGGGATTAGATTTAGGATCGAAGGCTAGACTGGCTGCCTCCGCTCTGACCTCTCAACTGCATGTGCATGTGTGCATATAACTGTGTGTGTGTATTTTTATATGTATGTGCATGTTGTGAAAAGTGTGTTTGTACTGTATGTACCTAAAAACGCATGGGGGATTGTTCTTCTTTGCTTTAACGGCGAGTCGCAACCACTATGAGCATTATCGCCACCTACTGTTGACTTATTGAACCTTCAAGTTAAATCCTTGTCCTCAGACCAGTGTTTTTGAGAAACTTGAAGATCAGTTTGGGCATTGGGATATATATTTTTTAAATCCTCTGGAGCAGAGAGAGGAGCTGTGGATTATTGTTATTGATTAGTGCATCAGTGTTTCTTAGGGTCAACAACACTAAACTCACAACTTAAAATGAAAGCGTTTAGTTTATTTAAAGGGGACCTATCATGCAAAATGCACTTTTGTACGTCTTTTATACATGAATATGTGTCCCCGGTGTTCCAGGGAACTCACCAAGTGTCAGAAAACACAACCCTCTCTATTTTCCTCCATACCCAAATCTCTAAAAAAGGGGCTGCAACGGATCTCAGGGATGCAAACTTGTCACCTTTCGGCGAAATTCGCCGTTTTGAATCCAAAATAGGTCGTTTGTGTGATTCATGTAGATCTGCAATAAAAATATTTTTGGGGTATGGGGGGGGGTCTGGGACCCGGAGTAATCTGCGGCCGCGAGCTGTTATGTGCCATCATGACACGCATGGTGTTCTTTTTTTATATATTATAATGAAGCGCGAGCTGTGTGCTCGAGTCTTCCTGCCTGTCGGCTCTGCTGCTCCGGGATGAGGGTCTAGCTTCAGCAGCTACATTACCTACGGGTGCGTTCGTTAATATTAACTGTGCGGTCCGGAGTCACTGTGGCACAGACTGGACCGCTGGTGAACAGCTGTTAGAACGGGCCGTTCAGGTGTTCAGATCAGAGCTCCCTGTCGGAGCGGCAGAGCGTGATGTGTACTGAAAAGTGTTCCTGTCGCAATATTATCGTTGAGCTAGCTAACTAGCATACATTGTCACTATCTGCTAACGTTAGCTTTAGCCTTCGTTTTCAAATAGTTTTTTTCATAGGCTATAAACGGAGGTGGTATAAGTATATATCTTGTACTTGAGTAAAAGTAGAAGCACTCAGATATTGTACTAGAGTAAAAGTAGAAGTACTCAGATCTTGTACTAGAGTAAAAGTAGAAGTACTCAGATCTTGTACTTGAGTAAAAGTAGAAGTACTCAGGTCTTGTACTTGAGTAAAAGTAGAAGTACTCAGGTCTTGTACTTGAGTAAAAGTAGAAGTACTCAGGTCTTGTACTTGAGTAAAAGTAGAAGTACTCAGGTCTTGTACTTGAGTAAAAGTAGAAGTACTCAGGTCTTGTACTTGAGTAAAAGTAGAAGTCCTGCATTCAAAATGTTCCTCAAGTAAAAGTAGAAAAGTATTCTCATCAAAATATAGTGAAAGTAGCGACAGTAAAAGTAGTCGTTGTGCAGATTGGTCCATTTCAGAATAATATATATGATATGTTTTATAATGATTGATCATGAAAGTGTTCTCAAAGCTGGTAAAGGTGCAGCTAGTTTGAATGACTTTGTATACTGCAGGGGTAGCTTGTGAATTTACTCCAGGTGGAACTAAAGTCTGATTTAACACTTGATTATATTTCACATCATTCATCCACATCTGTAAAGTAACTAAAGCTATTAAAATACATGTAGTGGAGTAGAAGTACACCATTTACCTCTGAACTGTAGTGGAGTAGAAGAACAAAGTAGCAACACATTGAAATACTTAATAAAGTACAAGTATCTCAAAATTGTACCCAAGTATAGTATTTGTTGAGTTTATGAACTTATGGCGCGTTTCCACTACACGGCCTCGCTCGGCCTCGCTCGGTATGGCTAGGCCTCGTTAGGACTGGCTCACTTTATGGCGCATTTCCATTACAGTTTAGGAACTGGGGTAGTATCTATAGTAACGCAGTGTAGGCGGAGCCGTGACGTCATCTTCAATGAGAACCCCAGAAAAACAACACAGCCGTTAGCTGTTAGCACTCAGAGCTCACAGCTCCTCATATATGTTCAGAAACTAGACAAAAGTTAAACAAGTACAAACCACAGACTGCCTGTGTCATGGCGAATACAGTCGCTGCTTTATTTATGTCTGTATAGGCCGTTGTTGTGAGTGTGGACGGTCGGAGCATATACTGCGTTAGCTTAGCCAATCTCCATTTAGAAAACACGCATTTTAAAAGGTTTTTCGCCTGCCGTCTGTCTGCAGACTTGACAAAGCATTAATTCATGGTTTTTACTAACCGGTATCAGTATGTTGTTACTTCGGCATCATTTTGAAACGTGTATTACAATTAAATCACGGTCAAATATGTCCATCTTGTTGTAGTTGTAGCCCCCTTTGCCAGCGATGCTCTCTCTAGTTTAGCATACTCAGCCCGACTCAGCCTCGTTGTCTCTGGCCCTAGACCCACGATTTTATGAGGCCAGAAAAACTGTGAATTAGGACCCGCCGGCCGGTACTAGGCCAAGTGGAAACGCAACCAAAGACGGGCCGCTGACGTCACAGCCCTCTTAAACCGTGCTCCGCGCTGTAGTGGAAACGCGCCATTAGTTACTTTACACCACTGGCTATACAGATAGAAAGACTAAGCCTTGCACAGAGGCATGAAAATACATTTTCAAAATGCTCAACAGTGCTGCCAAAATTATAAACTGACTGCTACACAATTCAAATAAATGCTTTTATACATTTCTATTAGATGTCACTCTTTGGCGTTTCTGTTATTATTAACTGCTTTAGTTGTTCTGACTGCTAAAATCCTTTGTTATTCCTAATTTTAAAGCCGATATTCCGTGGGGTCGGGGGGCTCGGATCCTTGTCACCTTTTTCATACCTGATGAGTTTGCATCCCTGGGATCTGATAAAAACTGATCCAGATTTGAACACTGTCCTGACCTCAGGACAGTGGCGCTACGGCTATTGGGCCAACTCCACCAATCAGGAGCAGACAGCCACGGCCATTGCCGTTCGAAAGCGCTGGAGACGCTGTAGTACATATGCCAGGCCAGTAGATGGTGCTGTTCTCACTGAATCTGCCCTTGCAGAGCAGAGCTAAAAAAAAGTGCAAAATGAGGCATGGCTAAAATGCATGATCTGTTTTGTATTTTGAAAAGAAAAAAGTATAAATATGCCTTATATAGGTATGGTCCTACACTATATTATTCAAATATAGCATGATAGGTTCTGTTGTGCACCGACAGAAATGCTAGAGAGATGCATGTTATTTACGTTTGCTTTCTCTCATTCCAGGCTTCCTGATTATTTTCACCTGTGTCTCCTGTGCTCATCAATGTCAGCCCCGCCCCTGATTGGTCCCACCTGTGTCTAGTTACCCTGTGCTTATATTCCCCTGTCTCCCAAGTGTTCTTTGTCAGTTCGTATTGTCTCTTGCTATGGTCAGGTCTATGCTCTTTGTAATCTTGTAAAGTTTGATTCCTCACTACGTGAGCACTTTCATTTTGTTCCTCTATTTTTGTCATCTCGGTTAGAGATTTGATAGTTACCTTTTTTGTTGTTCATTGCTGTATTTTGGAAAATAAAGTATCTTACTAATACTTTACCTCTGTCTCCCGGGTCGTGCAATTGGGTCCTACATCCTAAGTGTCTGAGTTCGTAACAGAACGAACTGACCATTATGGACCCAGCCGACCCAAGAACGCTTCACGCAGCGCTGTCAGCACAGGGCGTGAAGATCTTTCATCACGAGGAACAGCTGGGCCTAGTCAACCAGGAAATGCAAGAACTAAGAGGACGCCAGGCCGGGATTCAGGAAGCATTATCCACACAGATGCAACAACTGGCTGTCCAAATGAATCATTTTTTCACTCACCAACAGACTGCTCCTCCGGTGACGTCATCCACAACTGAGAGGTTGCCTGTCAATGCTCCAGCTGATTTCCCAAGTCAGGCTGTTTCTTCCCCTTTACGGCTGGCTCTTCCGGAGAGATTTTCCGGAGATTCTTCTAATTGCAGAGCCTTTTTGGTACAGTGCGATCTGCATTTTCAACACAACCCAGGAGCCTTTTCATCGGACCATGGTAAAGTGGCGTTTATTGTGTCATTTAACGGGAAGAGCTGCAGCCTGGGCTACTGCAGAATGGTCAAGAGAAACTGAACTATGTTACTCATTGACCGATTTCATAGAGACTATGAGTCGTATTTTTGACCCACTCATCGCCTGCTACAGAGGCCAGCAGAAAACTTTTTCATATACGCCAGCTCAACCGCCAGGTGGTTGATTACGCCATCGAGTTTCGCACAGCAGCAGCGGACAGCGGATGGAATGTTCCGGCTCTTCGTGACGCCTTCATGACGGGACTTTCGGAACCGATAAAAGACCAGCTGGCT